CCGCCCCCCTTCTCCCGATGAAATCATAAACACTTCCTCCTCCTCGCTCGCGCGCCGGGGCCGGGGACCCGCTCTTGCCCGCTCTCTGCTCTGCTATCGACAATTGTCTCCCCGGACTGTGCTTTGCGGCTGCTTGCGGCCGTTCGCCGCGAGGCCAACTACTAGAGGACTTGGGACGCAAAACTGATCAATTGAGAGGGTTGCGGTCGTCGCGGTGCAGGCCCAGCAGCAGCCGCCTGCCCAGCTTGTTGTGGTACCGAGCCTAGCAGACGAAGCGAGGTTAGGACGGGTGGCTCCCCGAGGCTCTGGTCCTGATCCTGGTCTTGGTATCCTCCTCCACCGCAACCACCCGGGTGGGGCGGTACGTGATCTCCTGAACGTGATCGCCATGGTCCTTGTCCTTGTACCAGACCGGCCTAGGCGTATCCCTGCGAACCCATGAACCTTCTCAGTTGATCAACTGTGTCCTTTGGGAGTTTTGGACTGTTCTAGAAACTTTGTTTTAATTGAAAATTCATATTATTTCAGTATATCTATCGATCAGTTGTTGTCTCCGTTTCTATTGTTCATTTATGGGTGAACATTTTGATTTTTTTACATTCTTATTTATACCTTTTCCTTCTCTTCTCAACAGACTCGTGATGCAGTCATACTTGTTTTTGGTGGTAACGACTGCCCTTTTGCTGGCAAGACCTCACCATGGCCAAGCAGAAGTGTATACAGCATTGGCTGATATGGAGGGCTTGCTGGAAACAGAAGGTGTCCTCATTGAGTCACTTTCTACCTTCATAAAAGCTCAAGAGGATATGCTTAACCAGCTCAGGAGGTACTCAGTCTTAAGCAGAATTATTATTTTTTTCTATAATTTACACCTTGTATCACTGTATCAGTACAAAAATTGACTAGCCTTTAATTTTGTATCAATTGCCAATATCCTCAAATTTATTGTTTGTTTTTATCTGTTGTTTTTTGCTTTTTATTTTATAGGTACCATGCAGATTTTTCCAGAGAACATGACAAGGCCAGTCAAGATGTACAAACCTACCTCTCTAATCCTATTAATGCGTACACCCTAGTTAAACATCTCACTACAGATTGGAAAGACATTGAAAATCTTCTTGACGACAGCAAAATGAAAGGTTATAATCAATAAATTTTATGTTGCCTCTTGTTTTAGCTAAAAAAATTAAGCAGTTCTATCAGCTTTTAATAATTACTTGTTGCATGATGCTTATGCCTCTGCATTTCTTTTTTAAGCTAGTAATCTTCTTTCCTTATTTTACAAACACTGACAACATACTAAAAATGTGTAATTGGGGAACATACTATGTTTGCAGAATTTCAACTCAATGTGTCAAATTATCACACCGTCCTAAAATTCCCAACTGATGAAGATCTGAATGGTGCTGCTGTAGCCCTGATGCGCCTACAAGACACCTACAAACTTGATACATCAGCCGTGGCTAAAGGTCTCATTAATGGTGTTCAATATAGCACAGGTCTCACAGGTTAGCCTGCTTTCCATCATGTCTCTAGTCATGCTACAAATGTTTACTTTTGCCTAAATACTACTGTACTTTCAGCTGGCGACTGCTTTGAATTAGGACGCCAATCTTATAATAACAAAGACTTTTACCATACTGTGCAATGGATGACAGAGGCTCTTCAAAGATATAATGAGGAAACAAACAAGACAATTACCAAAGCAGACATTTTAGAGTATTTGGCTTTTTCAACCTACATGGAAGGTACAGTACAAGTACAAAAGTTTGCGAAAGAGTTCTTGACATTAAATTTCACCCGAGTATTATTGTTCCAGGCAATGTTCATTCAGCACTTGAAATGACTGATGAATTGTTGACTCTGTCGCCCAACCACAATCGTGCCATGGGTAACAAGGTATATTATCTCCAAGATATAGCTACAAAAGGCCTAGTGAAAAAAAAGGGGGAGGATGGTAACTCTGATATCATCTCAAACTCGCAGGTGTGCTTATAAGTTTCATTATTCTGGTTCTATTTAGTTTCATCTTTATAGCTCTATTATACGATTCATCAGTATATTCAGGGTAGAAGTGGAATTATTAAGAGTGTTTTTTCTTTCCATTATAGCAATTGACTGTTGTAGAAAAGAAACTAGGTGACATTGATGAACTCCCAGAACGTGAGCTTTATGAACGTTTATGCAGGGGAGAGGTTAAAAGGTCTCTTGCCAAAGAAGCAAAATTAAAGTGCCGCTATGTTCATAATGATAACCCTTTCCTATTTTTGGCTCCTTTTAAAGTAGAAGAGGCTAGCCTGAGTCCAAAGATAGTACTGTTCCACAATGTCCTTTCTGACCCTGAAATTGAAACAATTAAACATTTGGCACAGCCACGGGTATGTTGGTAGTTTAAATTACATCTAGTAGTTTTTGGCAACTTTCTCAAAGTTTTCATTTTCGTTTTTGTTTAGCTGAAACGAGCTACAGTTCAAAATTATAAAACTGGAGAACTAGAAGTTGCGTCCTACAGAATTAGTAAGTCTGCCTGGTTAAGAGAGGAAGAACATCCTCACATTGCAACAGTGGTTCGCCGTGTTGAGGATATGACTGGATTAACTTGTGACACTGCAGAGGAACTGCAGGTTGTGAATTATGGCATTGGTGGTCATTACGAGCCTCATTTTGACTTTGCTCGGGTATGTAAGCAAGCAGAACTCAAATAGCTAATGGAAACTAGCAATGAGGTACTTAGCTTTTTGTTGGTTTTGCAGCGAGGAGAAACAAATGCTTTCAAATCTCTTGGAACAGGCAACAGAATAGCCACTACTCTCTTTTATGTAAGCCACCATACAATGTTAAAATGCGATATTACCACCAATTCCAAGTAAAACTCATAATTATGGTCGGGTACTACTATTTCAGATGAGTGATGTCCCTCAAGGTGGAGCAACTGTTTTCCCTCATTTAAGAGTTGCCCTGTATCCTAAGAAAGGCACAGCAGCCTTCTGGTATAACTTGTACCGTAATGGGGAAGGTGACTATCGCACTCGTCATGCAGCATGCCCCGTACTTACTGGATCAAAATGGGGTATGTGTTTGTCTAATCAGTAATTATAAATTAGACTTGAACACACATGCTTTAGCCTACAGTCAAACATATTATCCTAATATACTTTTTCTTTCACTTAATGAATCTATAGCTTATAACTGGCTACTGCCTTGCATGCAATGCTTGTCTTCTGTTGGCTTGCCTTTTCATCAGCTCAGCAAATGTTAACTGTGCTGATGAAATTTATTCTTTTCAGTTTCCAACAAGTGGCTTCATGAGAGAGGACAAGAGCTGCTCCGAAAGTGTGGCTTGGATTCAAATGAAGACTGAAACCCTCAAAGAGGAGAAAAACAACACTGACACGCACAAAGCACCCCGGCAGCTGCACTTCTGGAGTTTTTCTAGTGAAATCTTTTTATTTGAAATTTAAATCAGCTGATATCAGTCATCAACACAATAAAACAATATTGTTTTATTGTGTTCCAGTTCATACTATTGTTTATCTTGATTTAATTTGCTCTCTTCAAATTCATGCAATTAGGTTGGATTGCTTGGATTTAGTAAACCTTGAATGTATCATTTTAGAACACTATCCATATTTTTTTTACCTTATTGTAGACACCAATTTTTAATTTTGTTGTATGGTTTTTAGAATTTTGTTTCACTCTTAATTTTTTTCTAAGAGCTGAAGTGCTAACAAGATAAAATGAATACAGCACTTTTCAGCTTGAAAGTGGAACAGTCTTCTTATGTTATCAATGACAATGTAAAGCTGGTTTCACAATGAGGACCTTCTTGTAACTCAAGTTAGTTTTCAAGACAATTATTTTCAAGTTTCAAATACCAATATCATTTGTGGACTCGACTAATCTTGAAGTCTTTTGATTGAACAAGGAAGAACAATGAATACTTGAATGTGATTTAAAACTGAAAGTAGTATTTAGTTATAGATGTGAGGTCTCATATTGTGGGGCTACCATAAATATCTTAAGACCAAGTATTTCAGTGCAGGTTTTTTTTTTTTCTCTCATTTAGTTTTTAGTAATGGAATAGGTTGGAGCAAATCTCTCTGGGTTTTGAGATCTTCCTTTTCCTATTGTAAATCTCTATGTGAAGGTGAAATTTTGTCCTATTGTAAGCTGAAAGTATCTTTAAGTTTGTCATTATTGTTGAGTTCCCCCTTTATTAAGCATGTTTGGTCCTGGCTCTGCCTTGGCTAACTGCAAGCACACCTGAATAGTGCTCTATTCAAATTAGCTTGTAAGAAAGTGTACATACTGTTGTCAATCTAGTATTTTAAGAAAAAATTGATATTTCAAATTCTCTATGACTGTGTTCTTACTTGTGTGTAACTACTGTGCTTTGTCATTGTTCCTTTTTTGGCAAACTTCACTTTTTATATCAAAGGCATGAAATCTGAAGATTTGTTGTAATTTTATTTGTTATTGTGCCATATAATTGTTGATAAGAAATAAGACATGGTGACTTACTTTGGTAAATCACCCAATCAACCAACTAGTTAGGAGATAAGTTAATTTTAATCTAAGAAAGAAATCCAGTGCTTATTTATCTAGTCCTGACCTTTGTGCAATTGTGTACTCTCAAATGTCTGGCCTTATGTGATCTTTCATTTTAATTTTTTGACCCTTCAAGTGTACAGTAAACTTGAACACACCAAAGCCTTAAATTTATGATGCATTTTTTAGGTTGTAATACATAATTAAATAAAGTTGATTCTCATTCACTTAACTATATATGTTATACCTGACTATAAACATGACTTGATATGCACATGTACATTGTTGTGCTCTCCATTCTCCATTTATTATAAGCTACTGTCTTCTGAAATTTATTCCTTTGGACACAACATAAACTACACTCTTTCTACATGTCATTTTCTGTATTGTTCAACTGGGGAGTAATTTTTTGATAACATAGAAATAGACCGGCATTTAACGATGCTGATTTACGTGTACACAGCAATAAATATCTAGAGTTGGAAGGCAACAATGGTCTGTTGTTACTTTAGTAAGTAGAAGTGGTTGTGTCTCAAGAAAATCATTTCAATGTTACAATGAGTGCCAGACATTCGTTCAGTAGGGTCTATGGGAGAGTCCATTTCCATTTAAAAGTCAACAATCAACAAGAACAGTGATACTGTGCTGGTCAAAACATTGGAGCATTAAACAGGCTAATTCCTGTTTGTTTTTTGTTTTTTCGGTATTCATTAAATGTGACATTATTAAATGTACTGCTTTTGCTGACATTGGTGTTCCATGTGTAATCAGGCCTGTTCAAATATGTCAATAAACATTTCCTTCGGACTTGTGCTTCGTTTGCCTCATAAATCCATCCCCATCAGAAGACGGAGCAGACTCATCTCATTCAACACAACTTGATTTAAAAGTTCAAAGCTTTTCCTGGCTTTTCGAAGGGAAGCCCAGTGCGACCGCAGCTCGCTCTGACGGGCTACGTCACGAACTCCAACTGCCACGCCGCTCGATTCCCGACTCACGCTTCGCCCGTTGCTCCGTCTCTCCCCCGAGAGGCACATCTCACATCTCCCTTCGCTTTGGTGGCCTTGAAGTCTTCGATTCGGCTGTCGTCGCTCTCCACCCTCACAAACCAAAACTTAAGTAAGTTAGTGGGTTACACTGCAAGTTCGTGAGAACGTGCATCTATCGGGCTTATTCCCCCAGTCATCCAGGTATTGTTCGGGCCTGCCGTATACATCCTACACCTCAGGACTGTACCCGGGGTTGTGGTGCTCTAAGCCACCTACCCTTGAGACGTCGTGCTAATTTTAACCCCTTTTCGCACATCTCTTTATTGTACTCGGACAGCCTTTGTTCGGTGGTACCCGTTCTCCATTTACGCTGTTCTAGACGTGGTTTGTCCCTGTGTTAAAAGAGTTCTGAAGCACGCCACTGTATTTGTGCCGAAGAGAGCTGTCTGTCTTCCGTTAGGTTATCCGGTTCATTAGCGCCTTTCTTTTCGGACCTCATCCTGTTGGATTTCGTTCGCGGTTCGCCTCACCCAGAAGCCCGTACTCAACTCGTTCTTTTCTTGAGCCTCGCGTATTCTTCCATCGTCGCGCAGCTCTACTATTCCGAAAGACGTCGAGTCAGCCTCATTGTGCCGTAGTCTTCTGCTTCTGACGTAGATCTCTGCTCGGCACATATGCTTATGATTCGTCTCATTCATCAATGGTTTCTACGCTAGTTCATGTGCTGTTCTCTTGTTCTTTGTAGCAGTATCCTTACCCATACTAGCCTTCGATTTGCACCCTGCTAACTCCCTCATAGTACTCACTCCATGTTGGCTCCTATTACAATAACCTAACATTTCTCTGCATAAATTATTACTATTGCTCTCATGTCTTAACAGAGATTTTCATTTTATAATTCATTTTATTTCAAATTTTAAAATGTGGTTCTTGTTTCAGAAAATGGCCCCTCCATCATACAACGATCTCGGCAAGTGCGCCCGTGATCTCTTTAACAGCGGATACCATTTTGGTCTCCTATCTCTCAACCTTAAAACTAAAACAAAGAATGGTGTGGAGTTTACTTCTGGTGGTAATGCTGCACACGACACTGGCAAAGTTACCTCATCACTACAGAGCAAATACAATGTCAAGAAATACGGTATGTTTTTACCCAATTGCAATTTATTGTAGTTGATCCATGACTAGATCGATCATTTTAATTTTGCAACAAATTCTTTTTCTTTCCCTTTTCAAAGGTCTTACTTTTGTTGAAAAATGGAATACCAACAATGTATTGACTACTGAGGTTTCTATGGAAGATTACTTGGTCAAAGGATTGAAGGTAGCATTTGACAGCTCCTTTGCACCTCAAACAAGGTTTGTGTCTGTTTTTTATTTTTTTTTGTGAACTATATTGTTGTCTTGTGCCTGTTTGAGGTATTGATGTAAAACTTTTCTACTTTAGCAAAAAGACTGGCAGCATCTCCTCTGCCTTTAAAAATGACTGCTGTGCTGTCAACTGCAATGTTGATTTGCTCAATGGTGCTCCCCAAGTTCTGGCTTCAACTGTTGTTGCTTACAATGGTGAGAACTGCAACAGTACTTTTGAAAATTTCTGTTTCTTCTTTGTACTCTCTCTACTACATTTTTCAATTCTTTTTTAGGCTGGCTGGCTGGTTACCAAACCAAAGTTGATGCTCAGAACACCAAGGTTACCATGAACAACATTGCTCTTGGTTATTCTACCCAAGATTTCACTTTCCACACCAATGTGTGAGTAACTTAAATTTTTATTTGATTTCTTCTGAATGAACTTTGTTACCAAAAAAAAATTACTGTTTGCCTCCAACAGAAACGATGGGCAGCAATTTGGGGCTTCATTGTACCAGAAGGCTAAGCCGGACTTGGAAACTGGTGTTCAGCTTTCCTGGAAGATGGGTTCCAATGACACTACTTTCGGAATTGCATGCAAATACCAGCTTGACAATGATGCGTCTGTTCGTGCCAAGGTTAACAACAACAGCCAGGTTGGATTGGGCTACCAGCAGAAGCTGAGAGACGGTGAGTACAAATTCTTTCTTACAGCCCAAGAAGCACAATCTTCAAAAGAACTTCTAATTTGATGAGTTTTAAATTTCCAGGTGTTACCCTTACTCTGTCAACCATGATTGATGGCAAGAACTTTAACCAAGGTGGGCACAAGCTTGGTCTTGCTCTCGAGTTCTCTACATAAACCTAGCCAAAGTAACTGCAAATTGAGACCTTTTTACTAGTGAATCAACCACAAGTAGGGTAAATGGATGTTTAAGTTAGTTACCTGCTGTTGTGAAAAGAGAAGCTCATTTGAGCTCTTTAGTGATCTTCGCATTGTATTTTGAGTCTCTTGTTTCTAAAGTATTGATTGCCTTGAATATGCAGCTGTTGTAGGTATTAAGCCCACCTCACTGCTGGCTGTTGGCATTAAATTTGGAGCAGAATTATTTTTATTCCTATGTGGAAAGTGTAATTTTATCCCCTTTTGTCTACTGTATTTCAAAAACTTGATTTTGTAAGTGAATATCCAATGTATGCTTGTCACTGCTTGTAAAAGACATGGAATGTATTTACTTTTTACTATAAGTCACCTTTTTACAAGATGTATGTGGTATCAATAAAAAGTTGACTTAAAGTCTTAACTTGTTTTGTGTATGATTTTCCTTCCCCTAATAGATATCTTCAAAGACTTTCAAATACATAATTGATGTGAAAGTAAACTAAATATTAAAGGCAAGCAAGAAATGTATTGATGTGTTGCAAAAGTTCTCAGGGAAAAAATTAAAACTGAGCCTTTCCTTAAACTTGTATGGTTTTCAGATCAGTACTTGGTTAAGATTTGACAAAACTAAATAATTGTTTAAAGCATTACAAAATATTTATTACAATACGCGCCACTTCAAATGATTCCAAGATTGGTTTGTACAAAATTTCAATTGAATCAATTATTCAAATTGTACCAATTTGTTGACCTATTTTGACTAATACTCTTAGCACATCATATCCTCATCACTAACCTTACTCAGCCATGCAGGTTCAGTGTTAGCTATTTTCTCAATTATGGAGTTTACTTGGTAGCAGATAGATTGAATTTGCTTATCCCATGCCGGTAGAACTTCACGAGCTGAAAAATTTAAAAGATTGTTTGTAAAATGACAAAAGCGAAGTAAACTCAGTGAACATAATTTGAGAATAATAACTTACTCTCAAAATGAACAATAGAATCTATCTGGTCAATAAAGCCGTTCATCCTGCCCTCTGTGATCATTTGGCTTGCTATCTTTTCTGCTTTGGCTGGGGTAATCTCAAGTAAAGCTCCAAGCTCCTCAAAAGTAATGTTGTTATACAGCTTACTTGCTGATAGCAAATTGTGTTCAATCACAGCTCGATCTAATATAGTTGACCCTAGAAATAGCAAATGCAAGAACATTACACATGCGAAAATAGGTTCATATCCAATTTGAGTACAAGTGGTAAAAATTTTAAAAATATCCTTACCGTCAATGGTGATGGACTGATGGGGCTGGAGTAAACCTTGAAGATCATGCAGTTCTGAACGACGAATTATACGATCTAAGTACATCTTCTCTAAAATATTGTAGGCAGGCAAATGTTGACACCGTTCATCTTTATACAAAGTTGCTAACATTCGACTTCGTTGTTGCCCTACGATGGGATTAATATGTGGTTAATAAAGTGGCAAACATACAGCTTTTGGCAGACACAACCAAATGCAAATACCTGCAGAAGCTAGCATTGTGCAGATCAGAGCGCTCTTCAAAGCAGTCATGCGTTCATCTTCATGGATTATAGTGCGATAGGACAACTCATTGTATCTCTGAGCAGCCTCAATAAATTTTCGTCGGTAGTCAAGAACTCTGGCATAGCATACTTTGTAGTAAATTTGAAGCTGCTCATCTTTAGTTTCAGCCTAACACATAACAAAAATTAAATAAAATAGGAGGGGAAGGGATTGAAGAAGAGTAAAATCACGGAGAATTATAACTTGAAGTAAAACAATAACAGGAAAGCAAAGTACCTGCAACAAAGATGCTCTGTTGATAAATGCTTCAGCCAAGATAGGATCTCCATCCTCCAAATACAGGCGAGCAATCTTCATATAAGTTTCAAGCTTGTAATCCACTGAATATTGTCTATTGTGGAAGAGAAGATGATTCAGTATACAATTTTATTAACATGGAAAGCAAATTGTGAAGGACCAAATTTGAACTTCTTACTTCTGCCCCGTTTCCAAGGGGATTCCGACAAGCACTTTGGCTGCCGCCTTCCAATTCTGTTCTTTTTCATATATTTCAGCTAGATGCTGACGTATGTTGGACACCTGTTCTTCAAATGATATAACACGTGGTTGGACCTAAAATTGGAAGTTGGATGGTTAAATATATGGCTGACTTCAATTAGCGAGAAAATAAAAATAAAAAGATCCATGAAGCAGGGATAGAGATACCTTTTCAAGAGTATAATGAGCTATGTTTTTGGATGTTTCATCATCAATTTTGGTAAGGTGTTGTCCAACATCTGAGAGGACTTGTCGGGAAATCACCAAGCTCACCTGCTCATTAATGACTGTAAAAGAACAATAAAAAGAAGTTTGAAAAATACAACTAAAATTAGGGCACTCAAGAAATATTATTTTATGTATAACTGATGAGAGGAAATGCTTACTGGCATCAATAAACAGCTTCAGGCAATCCGCCAGCTCTGTTCCAGCAGAGTTCATAATCGACTCCAGGATTGTGCGAAACCTAGACATAACAACAAATAGACGTTCAAATTGACAGAGCACTGTTTCATTGATAACAGAACACACAGAAAACACATAGCAGCAAACGGTGCATGACAACCAATACAGTAGTAGCAAACAAATAAGAGCTCATTTCCTGCAATGTTTTTCTAGGTTATACCTGTCCGCTTGGTCCTTATGGCTGCCAGCATTGAAGTTGAGAGAGGAAAGCTGCTGGCGCACTAAACTTGTGAATGATGAAGCTGCCATTGTGACAGTTGTGGAGTCTAGGCAATTGAACTTCAATCACAAATGTAAATAGACTGCATTAGCCGTACCCCTTGGGAACCAAAACATCGAAATGCACAGTACAGTGGCTCTACCTGTCGGCCTTTCCAAAAACCCCAAAACCCAACCAAAACGGAGTGCCTTGACTGCAAGGTGGTAACTTATGAGTATATTGAAAATCACATTAAGACATCGTGATTAGCTGAAGAAACTCAGTCAGAAAAAAAGTATATAATTTCAAAAACTAAATCCGAACAATGTTTTTTTATTGCCATTAAAAGTCTGAAATTTGCATGCTATCTAATCACAATGAAATGCCTATCAGTTGGTAACACATCCCCCTACTGCTCTCGACATCCCCCTGCCCCCCCTCACCCTAATCCTTGCCCGCCCCACCCACCCCTAAAGTGACAGAACATCATCCACCTTGCTTCTTGATCTAGGTGAACCTGTCGGCTAAATATTTTGGAAATTCTCCAGGGAAAGGAGAAGAAAGAGTGACTGATGATCAAATAAATTTAGACTCGATCAGAATATGACGATTATTGGACAGTAATTAAGCTGGTAAGGTATATTTCATCCGTGATCTACCTGACAATTTCCTTCCCCTTCATGTTTAAAAGGGTTGTTAGAATAGGGAACTTTTCACATTCTGGTGCTTAGAGTTTTCTTATGCAAGTTTTCAGGACTTTTTTTCTTTTAATTTTTTTTTATCTATTACTTCTGTATGAACCAGCGGATCTCGCAGTAAATGTGTTGAAGTGCTCAGGTTATGGGTCACCAATCAATATTTTGTTTATAGTTAAAAAGTTTTACATTGTGAATCAGTTTTATCTATTTCTATTCAATTATTTTTCTCGGTGTGATTTTCGTGTGGGATGCACTAATCTGATGTGTGTTTAGCTGCTAATTTTAATATCTCAAAAAATTGTTTTACTTACACTTTTCAGAGTTTTAGTAAAATGGCTGCTGCACCAGGTAAGATTTGTTTTTAACCCTTTCATTGGTTTGTCTTTGAATTTTCTCCATGTTAAGACTTATTCACTTCCCTAAGGAGCCATGGAAGCTTGGATAGTTCAGCCCCGAGAGCGAGCACGCTATGAAGAGCAGTTTCAGTCCCTCAAACCTATCAATGGAGTTGTTACAGGAGACCAAGCCAAAGGATTTCTTTTACAATCTCAGTTGCCTCCTCCAGTCCTTGGCCAAATATGGTAAATGGTCATCTCATTTCTGAACTGTATGTGTTAAACAACCCGGCTGCTATGATATCTTTGCTTTCCTTGATCAGGGGACTCGCTGACACGGATGCGGATGGAAAAATGAACATCCATGAATTCAGTATTGCCTGTAAACTTATTAACCTCAAGCTCCGGGGCTTTGAAATCCCCAAAACTTTGCCTCCTATAATGATCCAGTCGCTCGTGCAGACTGTTGCTCCGCCTGCAGTAGCACCAATGGCTGCACCAATGGCTGCACCAATGGCTGCACCAATGGCTGCACTGATGGCTGCACCAATGGCTGCACCAATGGCTCCAAAGATGGCTGCACCAATGGCTGCACCAATGGCTGCACCAATGGCTGCACCTGTTCCAGGTGTTGCACCTCTTTCTGGATCCGGTATGTGAGAAATATTCTTGCTAATAGTGCTGTCTTGTTATCAGTGAAATTTTGTACCGGTACTTATATACGTATTTCTAGGTATGCTGGATGGAGTACCCCCTCCCATTCCTCCTTTGCCTAATATGGCCAACCTGCCACGTATGCCTGCCCTGCCAACAGGCGTGCCCATAACAACTCAACCTATGCCTATTGGAGTGGGTGTCACAGGCGCCATCCCGCCATCAGTACCTCAGCCAGGTATGTTTATATCTCAGGATAGTTTATTCAAGAATCAACCACTTTGTATCTGTCGACACACAACATTTTTTCAAAACTGCAACTGGAACTTATTCTTAATTGCAGGAATGCCTCTCATGTCAGGTTCCATGCCTGGAGCGATGCCAGGTAATATTCCTGGAGTAGCGCCAGTGGTACCAGGTATGATTCCAGGGGTTGTACCATCTGCTCCTGGCATGACTCCTATGCCAGGGGTGACTCCAGTTTCTCCCCTTCCTACAGGCGCACAAGGTGTTCCAGTTGCGCCTTTGGACTTAAACAAACCAGCAACACCGTCTCTTACCGGAACTCCAACAAGTGGTAAGCTTCTGCAGCTTCTGAAACTGTGCATTACTTTTTGTTCTGTAAATTGCAAATAATGTACTCTATCTTTACATTGTCCTTTATCTTTTCTTCATAGCACCAGGCAGTGCCACAGGAAGCTACAGTGGGGAACGAATGGGATCTGTTGATCTTGGGTGGGTATTGTGTAGCGTACTACTAAAAAGAAATATCTATCTATCTATTCAGATGATTCCATTGGGGGCGGGTATGCCAGACAAATTCTGCAATATCAGCGCTCTGGGGATGCGTCTTAATTGTTTCTGTTTTTTGTAGAAATGTTATATTATCATTTGTTTTTATTCAAGGTTTGGATATCACATGGAATGGGCTGTACCCCACCAGTCAAAATTAAAGTACACCCAGTTGTTCAATACAACGGATCGTGCTAGGTCTGGTTTTCTTTCTGGACCTCAAGCAAGGAACATCATGGTTAGCACAGGAGTACACCAACGTGTTCTTGCTCAAATATGGTGTGTATTTTGTGAACTGCCTTTAAAACTGTATAAACAATGGAACATCTCAAGTGCACTTCTTCTTTCCTCAATTTTAGGGGTTTGGCGGATATGGACTCTGATGGTCGCCTCTCATGCGATGAATTTGTACTGGCCTTGCATCTTTGTGATATGGCAAAGGCTGGAGAGAAGATTCCTGTGCCTCTACCAGCAGATCTTATCCCCCCTGCGTTTAGACGACAAAGACAAGGGAGTGTTGCCGGAGCAGGTCCTGGAAATACCCCTGGTTCTGAAAAGGGAATTGAGCAGGACCCTGCCTCTATGCTCATAAGTGGTGGTTAGTTAAAATTCTGTAAGTTCTTCCTATTAGTGTGTCCTCCTAAGCTCCCCTTAACTTAGTTTTATCTCTGTAGTGACTTTTGAGGATAAGAGGAAAGAGAACTTTGAGAAAGGTCAAGCAGAACTCGAGCGCAGACGGAAATCACTATTAGATATACAGCGCAAGGAACAAGAGGAAAGAGAGCGTAAGGAACGAGAAGAACAGGAGAAACGGGAAAAAATTAGGTATTGTACTCCACTGGAACTAGAGTTTTACTCTATCAATTTTTATATTTTGGCTTTGATCTCATATCATTGTGTCCTTCAGATTGGAACAAGAACGACGACGTCAAGAAGAGATGGAGAGGCAGCTTCAGCGCCAGAGGGAACTGGAGCAAGAGCGAGAGGAGCAGAGGAAAGCTCAGCTTGAGCAGCGTGAAGCAGCTAGAAGAGAAATGGAGCGTCAAAGACAGCAGGAATGGGAAAAGCAACGCAACCAAGAACTTCAACAGGCTAGACAAAAAGAGCAGGAAAAAGTTTTATCATTAAAAGCTCAAAACCAAAAGCTTGGAATAGATCTCTCTCAACTTGTAAGTCTTTGAAATCTTTACTGTTATAGCTCTTTTAAGTAACCTTTGTTAGTGTTTAAATTTAACATTTTAAACTAAATTTATTTTAGAATGAAAAAGTTAAAGAATTAACCACTAAGATTAGTGAGACACGTTTGAATGTGGCTTCTATCAAAACTACCATTGATGGTATGCGTGGAACACGTGACACACAAATGAGTGAAATGCAGGCACTCAAGCACAAGCTAAAAGACCAAAATAACAGGCTTTTAATGGTAAGCCAGGAGAAAGCACGTCTGGAGAATAAGAACAAGATGAATCAGGGGCAAGATGATGACAACAAAGAAGCTTTGGCTCAAGCAGCAAGTGCCAAGCAAATTGCTTTAAAGCAACTCCGAGATAAAATTGCTGATCTTGAAAAAGAGGTAAATGTAGCTCCTCTAGTTTTTCAGGAAGCACCTTTGTGTTGAAAGTTATCTGAATTAACTTGAGCTAAACTTCTAAATTGTAGGTCGAGGTTAAATTAGAAGACATGCAAAACAACAACTCTCAGCTTGGTGACCTGAAGAATGAGCTTTCAACCCTTGTATCTGAATGTGAAACACTCTACGCAACTTATGATGAGCGACGCAATAAAGTTCGTAGTATATACTGTGAATCCTCTTTCATCAGTAAAATAATTTATTATTTTATCTTATACATCCTTTATTATGTTGTAGGTGCTGCAACTAAAGAAAAAGAGAAATGATCCTCTTGATGTCAATGCTGCATGGGGTAGCTCAGCATGGGACTCTGCGCCATCTTGGAGTGACGACACACCTGCAGCTGTTGACACAATCACTCCAGCAGCAGGTTGTCTTGCTTTTTATTTCCTAATTCCTCCAGTTCTTGAACTATGACTTCCCTTTAATAATTCCTCTGATAATTTTTTTGTTTTCAATCATTATTTCAGAGAGTGGTCTCTTACGGTACCGGGCTCTTTATGAGTTTGTGGCTCGCAATCAGGATGAAATTTCCTTCCAGCCTGGAGATATAATTATGGTTGTAATTACTTCTATTGCCTTTTCACTGTATTGTTATTGAAGCTAATTATTGATTGAGATTTGACCTATCTTTGTCAGGTTCCTGTTACTCAGAGTGGTGAGCCTGGGTGGCTGGCTGGTGAGATTCGGGGACACACGGGTTGGTTCCCTGAGACTTACGTAGAACCCTTGGACACACCAGCTGAGGCGGCCGCGGCTGTGGACGCCGCAGCTGTGGACGCCGCAGCCACAACAGCTCGGCTGGAGTACGTTAACTCCTCACAGTTTTGCTGCTATCATATCATTCTCTGTTTGACATAACTATTATATGATGTTATAGGGGTATTGCCGAGGTGCCTGAGAATGTTAGTGATGCAGGATCTGCTGCGGCGGATCCCTCTTTGACTGCAACACAAGCTGCAGCTCCACTTGCAGCCGCCCCAGAGGCAGTTGGTGATGGAGGTACAAAGGACTAGACTTTTCATTTACTCTTTTCCTCCATTTATCTTTTCATTTAAATCAACTTTGAGTCCTTTTGTTTCTACTTTCAGAGTGGTACATGTCTATGTACCCATATGACTCTGGGGAACCAGGGGACTTGTGTTTTGGTCAAGGAGAGATGGTATTAGTGGTGAAGAAAGATGGGGATTGGTGGACTGGAGTGATCGGTGATCGCACTGGAATTTTCCCATCTAATTACGTTCAAAAGAGTGAGGTAAGTTCTTGTTTTTAAATGTGGATGTGTGTTGTTTTGTGTTTGTTTGTTCTTGTTTATGGTGTGATTCTTTAAATTCAAAACTGACAAAATTCAAAGTTGTTAACATTAAACTTACTTGCACCCACTAACATGCACGATGACTCAATCCCAATTTTGTGTGTGGTGTGTTGTAGTCCACAGAGGGCTCTGCTCCTGCACCAGCACCCTCTGCAGTTGTACAGACTGCACCATCTGACATTTCTGAAGAAGTTGCAGCAGCTATGTCTAAATCTGCATTTGAATCACAGGTATAGTTTCACACACCAAAAAAGAAAGGGCAAGAGAAATTTAGAGGTAATTTGAATTTGCTATGGCTGTTTTCATTGTGTGTGGATCCTTGTGTTGTTTACAGTCTGTACCTCAGCAAGTGAAGCCTGCTACACCTGATTTTGCTGCTCTCAACCAATCCACTTTGGTAAGTTTTCTAAAAGTGCAGAATTTCTGCATTAGGCAAGCAGAATTCCAATTTTTCTCTGTAGTTTTCGTTTTACCACCATTTTTAATTACACCATACCATAATTGATTTGCCTGTCAAAGTTTTCCACTCTAAGGATATACATAGCTACCTACTTTGACTTTCTTCAATCACTTGCTTTCTCTAGATGGTATTTTATTGTAGAGCAACTAAGGCACACCATCTGTAGTGCATTCTTCACTAACCGGTAGTATCAAATATTTTGTCACAAAATTCATGCCGTAGTGCTCACCAACCTATCTCACTCATTTGCTGTAAATTTTGAGCACTTTTAGTATGTATCAAAACTTTCTTTCCCCTCCAAACCTGTGCGACTTGCTTGCTATGGTTTGTGAACTCAAGAGTATTGTTGGAAAGCATTCAAAAATTGTAAATTTTAATCTAAATCAATTTCAATTATTTTTTTTCTACGAAACACCTCACAAGTTGGTAAACATTTTTCAAATTTGAAATTTCTCTGCGTTTTTCACTGTCCTCTTGATGCATTTGATTGTTTTGACATTATGTGTAGTGCACAATACACTATTTTGAATATGCTGTGTAGTTGATTGTATTGTGTGATTCTTTCTCAACGGGGCCAGGCTGAAGAGGATGCTGACAGCAAGGTATTCCTTTTCCCAGTTATATTTTGTGCATGAAAGATTTTTTGCTCTTACATTTCACCTCTTATTCTTTCACTGACAAAGTTCCATTCTCAATCGAACAGTTCACAATCAAAAATGGCAAAGCCATGAAAATTTTGTATTTTGATTGATTGGTTCAAGATACTGCCAACAAAACCTCAAATAAATACTAATTTCCTTTTCTATTCTAGGGCTCAAAAGCAAAGAAACCAGAAATAGCAACAGTTCTGGCTCCTTATCAAGCCACAAGCGCAGAGCAACTGAGTCTCAACAGGGGCCAACTAATCATGGTGCGCAAGAAGACTGACACTGGTTGGTGGGAGGGAGAACTTCAGGTAAAGTTTTGTTCATTCTATATGTAGGTATTTGAACTTAGGCACAACGGTTTAGAGAAAACAAAGAAAAATATTTGCCATCATTTTTCAGGCTAAAGGCAAAAAACGTCAAGTTGGGTGGTTCCCAGCTTCCTATGTCAAGTTAGTGCAGAAAAAGTCTGGGCAGGACACTCCACCAGCAACCACAGTCACATCTGCTGCAGCTTCTCCCTCCCCGTCACCAACACCCATGAATATGACCAGGGATTCGGGACTTGGTAAGATAGGTTCACTAGGACAAGAATGTATTTTGAATTTCAAATGCTCGTTATCTATAAACATTCCCAATCGTTTACAGAAAAAGTGATTGCCCTCTATCAGTATATTGCCCAAAATGAAGATGAACTAAGCTTTGAAAAAGATGACACGATTACCATTCTTGCAAAGGAAGAAGCAGCTTGGTGGCGAGGGGAATTGAATGGCGTATCTGGCCTCTTCCCGAGCAATTATGTTGCCCCTCTCTGTAAGTAATTGTCTTTTACTTATCATCTAATATGGTAGTGGGGAATTAAATGTTAAAAAGTTAGAATAATATGAACAAGTGTCTGTTTTGTGGAGTTATATCTAATCTGCCATTTAGGGTGATCCCTGATGCCTTTGTTTTTGTGTTGTGTTGTGGACTTGTAGGAATTGAGTTTGGCGGAAATGGAGATCCTGAAGAAAAGTATGGCATGTCAACAGCTGCAGTGTCCCACTCTCCTTATTCTTAAGAGTATTCATGTCATTATACATTTTCCTCTTGGTTGTACGACTTTAGTATAATCTTTATCCATTCAAAGAAAGAACATTAATGCATGGATGAACTGAGATACTTGTTCTGAGTCCCTTACATGGACAAGTAAACATGCAATTTTTAAAATAATTTTCTGTTCAGCAGATCAAATGAAAACACCTTGTAAGCTTCCAAACATGTCGTTACTTCTCATTCTTTGTGAAATGTGTAGTATTTTGTTTGAGTCTTACAATCAAGTATTTTCTATCAATTTTGGAGCTATGTGTGTTTTAAAGCGCTTGTTTATCAGCTTTTGGCTTTAGTGATTAATTACTTTATGAATGTTGTATGCGTTACTTAAGTTTTCGGAGCTTTTAATTGTCTCAACCCTATGGAAACTAGTTATGCCCTGCAATGTGTGTTTAGTTAGGCTTATCTCATCTCAATTTATGTTAACCTTATATTGATTTTTTTTAAACCAATTGTTTTGAAGGGAGACATTTTCTATATTGCCTTGTTATTTTCAGTCTATTTTAGTGTACTCTGAATTGACTGACAGCACTTCTCATTGTTACATTGTTGTATGTATTTATCAATCCAATAGTTGATATTGTTATTTTAATTTTGTAGCTCTTTGGCTCTCTGTTGGGCTTGATTTTTTGAATGTGGCCCCTTACTTTAAACTGTCAATGCACCTGTATATTCTCTGTAAAAAAAAAAAAAAAAAAGAACTTTCAAGACATCAGAATCTTGTAGGGTTTTGTGCAAGGCCTCTTGCCCTGCCAAATACTTTTTATTACGGTGATGGGCCGTTTTTAGGTGGCAAACTTGTTGAAAGCGATAATTGCTCCATGAACTCAATTGTGTATTATTGTTAATTGTTGGGGTCCTATCCTCCTTATGACATTCCCTTCCCTTGACATTTTCTCTGCTCCACAGAACTGTATTATTTTTTGGTGATTGCCCCTGTCACTATGTCTTTTATGTTTACAAAATTTATAGGCTTCTACATTGTTATTTTTTATATAATCAGATGTATATTTAGTTGAGTAATGAATTCCCAGTATATTTTGTCTGTAGCTCTTAAACATCCAGTATAGGAAAATGTCAGCAGAAAATTTCATTGAAAATGTTGATGTGGCCTTAATGTTCTTGGTTTGTTCTTCATGCCCCGGTTTTCAATCAACCTAAGTCATGTCACCTTTTTGTTTAGGTAGATGATAAATTTTTCACTCATGCTTGTGATCTAAATATCATTGCTCTATTTTGGTAGACCAACATACCAACTTAGTGCTGGAATTTTGTTTGTGCCATAATCTTACTTTTTATTTGTTTCATGCAAATCAGCTTTAAAGTCATTAAAATACCTAGTGTATTAATCTTTGCACTGGCCTGCACCAGTGAAGGTTATGCTCACGAGAAGGTATACTTATTGATTGTTCCTATTCAAACAATAATGCTCTTATTCTTAGTGACTAAGCAGGAAATGCATGTGTTGCCTGTTGCTACACTGCCTCAAATTATAATGTGTATTGAACACTTACCATGCACATCAAGCCAAGAAAGTGGCTTGAATCTCTTTCAAATATCACAGGAAAAAACCAACAAACATTATTATAGACTATTTATAATCATGTAGGTTTAATATTTTTGCCTGAGAAACCATTGTCACAAATTCATCATCATGTGTTGTTTGTTGTTAAGTTACAATTATAGAGTATGTTATAGGCAATTTTTTGTTGACCTATGTTACTTCCCAGGCACTCTTATCAGACCTGTTGTTACGGTAATTTGTTATCAAATTATTATTACTTTTAAAGTGATGATGTGTGTATCGGGTATATCTTTATTGTGTACTACTTAGTCAGTTTTCTTAAGTCAGTAATACTGCCTCAGGAAATTTGTATATGGAAGTAATGAGATTATTTTGTGTGATAATCAGACAACTGCGTGACCTAGTTAACTGTGGTTTGGTCTTTGGACTCCCTTGTGCAAAGTAAAAAGGAAAGAGAGTTTGGATACCATGTGCGGAGACGCATTAATTTCAAAAGCAAACTAGAATCATTTCCAGTGCTTGGTTTATGAAATGTATTTGGAAAGCATAATTAAGTCATAGTTATGGTTTTGCTGTTTTTGGTTATTCACAGGATTTGTCCTTAATGCTTCCTTGAGGGAGTGAACAATAGACCAGTAAACACTCAAAGAAACTTTAAAAGAAAATGAAGCCTAGAGCTTTAGTAGATGTTATTGTTGAAGTTGCATTCCAGACCATATACATAAGTTTGTTATTGCAACTGTAGAATTTACATGTGCTAAGCACATGGTAATGCATCTTAATAAACTGATTCATTTATTTGCTTGTCTTTCATGTTGATGTCCCAAAAAGAACTTCTTACACACTTTAAAATGGTTTAAGTCATGTCATCAAGGAATCATATTGAAAAATTTAACTTACTGTTTGTCCATATCAAGACAAAATGGCAGATCTCGTACATATGTGCAAATGTATCATGAACACAATTTAAATTGAAGATGTAAGTATGCTCTACAACAATAAGTTTTGTTGGTTGGAATTTTATGAAACAATGTGTGTTAGAGAGCCTTACACATCTTTCAACAATTAATTTATTTCTCTGTTTTTGTTTTGATGGTTTGTTTTTGACAAGCATGCTAAAACATGCTCTACATGTATTTTGTTACCCAGCTTCAAGCCTGTTTTTCTTTGTTTTTTTTCTTTTGTTTTTAATTTTTGTTTAACTTTAGAGTGATTGTTCAGTTTTTGTGCTTCAGTATTTGTTTAGAAAGTATTGTTGTGATAGGCTTTCACCATTGGGATGCCAATCTTTGTGTCTATGTAATATATGAAACGCATGCGACCCATATCTTTGTGTTAATACAATTGACCCAATTAATCCGATTACCGCTGATATTCCTATTAATTGAATTCGCCCATCCTAAAGGCAACTAAAAGTGTCTTTTCAATATTTCTTAGAGATCCTGAATTTGCAAAATTTACTGACTAACTTAGCTATGGCCCTTATCTTTGTTCTTTTTCCTGAATTACAGTTGCATCTCTATATACTAAATTATTTTTGATTTGGCTCATTGTTTGGCAAGCTTATAGTTTTAGAGAATTGACTCAGGATTTATTTAGGCTTTATCAGCTTAAGGATCTTAACATCTTAACATGTTAACATATGAACAAGTGCATTTTGCATTATGTTTGATTGTAAAGTCTATGGTTTCACATCTGAATGTCTTTATATTCGCTAAAATGCCGACCAAAACATTCGGGATCCCTACAACGACCGACACCGACAGAATCGTGATTCATGGTTTCCTTGAAAGTTGTGTTAAGATCCCGCGAAAGCACGGATCTCTGCTTTCCATCGAACTGAAGAGATGGCAAATCTTTCTAAATGTTCCGGCTAGCACTTTTTACCAATTTAAACACATTCATAACTAAAAATCATTGCCATAGAGCTAAATATGGTGAAAATGCATCTGTTAATATGTTAAGATCCTCAAGCTGATAAAGCCTTAGCAATCACAATGTTTCTAAACTTTACAATTTTTTTTTCTTTTTCCGAACTTTTGTTACAGCCCTTAACCACCTGAGCATAATTGAAAGAAAAAGACAGGACAGTATAACTGAGCTTATGAGTACAGAGCAAGCTTACATTGATGACATGTCCATTGTTCATGAGGTAAGAAATACATTTGGAATATCTTTTTAGCCCAACTTTGCTTGACTGGTGCTAATTTACACAGCTCTATTATTTATAGTTGTCTTTGTACTTTTTTTATTTTATTTTTTTTGCAGATATTTGAAAAACCCTTGGTTCAAAAAGGAATTCTCTCTCCAGAACAAGTTCAAAAGGTTTTTGTTAACTGGAGGGAAATCATTGTGTGTAACTATATGTTCCTAAGGTACATTCCTATGCCTGTATCCATAAACTGTTTTATTTGTCTACTTTTTCCTCTCACAATATTCTTTCATCTATGCACAGGGCCCTCAGAGTAAGGCGTGATATGAGCTCTGGCGCAATAATCCGAATGATAGGTGACATTTTATGTGAAAATGTGTGTTCTAAAATTTTTATATTAAATCTTCTTTATTTGTCTGCAGTATGCTCATGTAGTTTTGCTTCCCTTGCTAGCTCCCGAGAATGAAGGTCTACATTAGATTCTGCTCCTGTCAACTAACTGCCGCATCAACTCTTCAAGATCTCCAGGAAAACAACTCAGAATTTCGAGAGGTGTCTCGAATTTGTCAAAGTGACCCCCGCACCATGGGTCTTCCCCTCAGTTCATTCCTCATCAAACCAATGCAAAGAATAACAAAATACCCGTTGCTTATAAAAAAGGTTAGAATGATACAAAAGTTATTGGTTTCTATCTTTTTCACCTACACTATGTCTATATATCTTTCTTTTTTTTTTTTTTGACAGATTTTGCAATATACAAGCGAACATCACCCTGATTACTCTTACATAGTGGAAGCTCTGGCAAAAGCAGAAGAGTTATGTAACCAGGTCAGTTAATGGTTAATGTTTTACATTAAAAAGTCTCATTTTTCTCAAACCTACTTCATTGTTCCCTCTAATTTAAATTTGTATACAGGTAAATGAAGGAGTGAGAGAAAAGGAAAATTCAGATCGCCTAGAATGGTTACAACAACATGTTCAGTGTGATGGTTTGAATGAGCAAATTGAATTCAACTCTCTGACAAATTCTCTGGGTCCAAGAAAATTTCTTCATCACGGTGTGCTTGTGAAGGTAATCAACCCTATTCTACTATATACATTTTGTAGACCTGTGTTTATCATAATTAGAAATTTTTCTTGCTTTGTCTGTTGTGTAAATTTTATCATCTTATGCAGGCTAAAAGTGGAAAGGAGCTTGTGGGATTCCTCTTAAATGACTTCCTCATGCTTACTAGACCCTCTAAGTCCCTGGCAGGAAAACAATTTTCATTTGATAAAAACACTGGAGTTCCTTACAAGCTATATAGAAAGGTGTGTGTTAACTTTAATTGATACTGTATTACTCTCCTTATGTATAATAATTACTTAATATTGTTTCCCAATTTCAGCCTATGATATTAAGTGATATTGTCATTACTGACAACTCTGGAAAGATCTCACCTGCCGAATCTCTATCCGACTGCAATGACACCAAAGAACTAAGGATAGACAACAGCAGTGATGCTAATTTATCTATCGTCCTCTTAGCTCCAAGTATGAATGAACGCAATCTTTGGATAAAGAAACTGGATCACGCTAAGCGGCAGTTTATGGAGAATGAACAAAGTCATTTTCGACGGCAGCAGTCCAGTAAGTCACTATACGTACTCTTGCGGGTTCTCAACTGATATTAGCGGACATTTTACAATTTTATCAATCAATACCCCAAATTTCTTGTCAGAACAAGCTCAGTTTGGCGCTGTAGGGCGCATCTTAGCGGTAGTCATGGGCGGCTCAAGTCTGAGCTCCTCTCACTCAGGGGGTAAGCGGTACATTACATTCGTAATAATCTTTTCAGCACAAAAATATTTGCATGACCCCTCCTTGATTTTATCACAATTGCTTGGTGTATTTTGCATGATTTTTCTACTGTAGTGCTTATGAAGCCTTTTATTCAAGCAATCCTTTCTTTTGGTATTCTCTTTGATAGGTCTCATGTCACAATAGCAGCTTATTTGTTTTTGGTAATTTTAGCCTATTACACTCGGGTTGTTTTCCTAAGGGTTTATCCAGCCAACTGTTTTCTTAGTTTTCTACCCTACCTGTCTGAACTGTCCTTTCCAGTGCGACAACATTCTCCAAAAGCATCTCTTCTAATGTCAGTAGTGCATGGGGACGAATTGGCTTTGATCAGGCCTTCAGGTATGAACTGCTGTTTCCCAAAACTCTTACTATGTATCTAACCCCTTATTTTTGCTTTGTTGCTGTAGACTTCGGTTATATGGATCTTTACTTTTAGTAGTAGAATATGGACTGGCATGAAAATCCTTTATGTTTGCACAGTATTTGCCTCTGTGGCTTCTCTTTGCTCATTAATCTTCACATGACTTCTTGGGCATTCAGGTAAATGCGAAGCATTTTGCAAGGTGACAATGGGATCTCAAGAGCATCGAACCAGTGTGGCTAGTGGTCCATCACCACAGTGGAACGCATCAATGCAATTTTTAGTAAAAGATTTGCAAGAAGATAGATTATGCATTACAGTATTTGACCGCGGTCATTTTTCTCCTGATGGTACTACTCTTGATTTCTTTTTACATTCTTTCTATCATAATCAAATAGAAATTAAGAAATGTGCTGATGGGGCTTTAAATAATGTTTCAGAGTTCCTTGGTCGCACTGAAGTCCGAATCTCAGACATTCTCAAATCTTCCTCTGAGACCCCTGGCCCCATTTCAAAACGTCTGATTCTTCATGAGGTTGAAACTGGTGAAGTAGAAGTCAAACTTGATCTTAGGCTATTCAGCAAGGAAAGGTAGCTTTTTTTGTATTATTTGTACCTTATTTTCTGCATCCTATGGATGTTCAATATTACTAGTAATCTAATATATCAATCGGTTTTGATTTCTCAATAGTGTAATATTATGAGATTTTCATGTAATGTGATACAAGCTTTGAAGTCCAAGGACTCTTTAACTGTAAGGAAAGGTTACAACTTGGCAACTTTAGTGGTTTTATTGTTAATTTCCTCTGTTATTCTGGCACTTATCATTCTTTGTCTTTGTCATTCTTGTTGATTATTTACCACTAGAAAGTAGAGGTAAACAGTATAAATATATTTACAGTTACAAGAATGAGAGAAAATTTGTAGCCTATAAGATTATGCAAGTTTTCTAAAGAAATATATTCTAGTTTACAGTTCTAAGCATGTATATACAAATGGATAAAAATAATCTAAATATTTAAAATGCATTACTCTACAATCAATAGTGTTTTATGATGGCCAAAAGGCACTTCATCACATGTTTATTAGAAACCACATCACAAATTATTGGGAGCAATTGCTTCCTTGTATCTATGGCATGGCGAAACTGAAGAACACATAAAGCCACAGTCAATAAATAAATAAATTACTTAGGTAATTAATGCTCTTTTCTTTTTATCAAATTAATGTAATACTGCTGTTTTTTTAACTTGTCACTTATCTATGATTTGTTGTCAAAATATGATTTTACTGTGGTTTGTTATTCACCCTAAATCCGTACAATTTTACTGATATTGATTTCAGTCTCTTAGCCTCTCTGGCAAACTTGCAATGTAAAAGAGACATGTGGAATTTAGCCATAAGAGCTCTGTTCCTGAGAATCACAGTTCGTCTTGTCAGCAGCAACCTTATGCAAGGAAATAAAAAATGTTTCCACATTTTGAAATATTTTGTTTGTCAAACATGCTCTTAAAGACATTTTTGACCTGTACATCTATCGACATCACAGAGTTGCTTGTGGCAGCGAGCAGCAGGTGCGCAGTGGGCAGAACCCTTGACAAACCCAACAGCAAGCAAGACCAACACCCGAAAAAGGGGGATCCGACCCCACTGCGGACGGCATTGCGTTGCCACCTTCCCCTTAATTGCACCAGCACCATCTAATTGAAACTGTTCGGTAATTCTTGACCACTAGATTGGAAATCTACGCTTATTTTCTTCAACCCAGCTGATCATTTAATTTTTATAATTGAAAGTGGTCAGTAATTTTTTACCACCACATTGGCGGAATCTCCAGTTATCTTCGACCCGGTTGATCTTTTTTTTATTTCTCCTCTGAATTGTGTTCTAAGGGATCGAGAGCATCGGGAAGGGGCGATGGCAACACCAGGCCTGGAACTACTACTGCTCCACCAGACTTGTTCTCTTCAATCGCATTGAAATCAAAGGTGGAGTCTGCCGGACACAGGCTGTTGATAAACATTCCTTTCTTTTCCCCTCTGACGCAGGAGTCGCTGGCTCCGGGTCCCCTCATCTCTCCTCCCGCTCGCCCGAGACGGCCATGGTGGAGGCGGCGGTGGCGGCGGGCGCGGCCGAGGGCGCCGCCTCGTCTGCGCTGTGCAGGATGGGCTTGAATCCTCCGAACAGCTGCGGCTTGAAGTTCTCGAAGTCGAACGCGCCCTCCGTGGTGCTGCTCTCCTTGATGATGTCCCGGATGTCGGCCTTGTCCACCGTGCCGGGGCGCATGCCGCCGCTCAGCACGCTCCAGCCCTCCACGGGGCCGGCCGGCGCGCCCGCCACTCCCCCGGCCCCGCCCGCCGCGCCCCCGGCCGACTCCACGCTCACGCTCGCCTGGAAGGGCGCCTGCAACGCGAACACCACCACAGCCCTGTCGGTAACCATTTCTCCGAAGGTGACGTTATTTTCCCTCGTGGGGTAACTTTACCGTCGCCACTCACCTGGAAGCCGTGGTCGTCCAGCTCGACGGCGGGCGGCCCGGACAGGGGCGGTGCGGGCGCGTCCTCCGAGTGGCGGTGGTTGCTCAGCGTGTGCATGACGGCGCCGACGGTGAACTCGGAGCCGCCAGACGCGCCGCCGATGACCGTCTCGTGTCGGCTCGGGGGGCCGACGGGGGACGGCGTCACGACCGTCTTCAGAGTCGCCGAGATGGGCTGCGCCTGCTGGAGCGCCACGGGGGGCGCGGAGGTCCCGGTGCCCAGGACGACCCTGGGCGGCAGAGTCGGTCCCGGTCCGACGGCGACGGCCTTGACGGGGGCGGCGGCGGCAGTGGCGGTGGGCGGAGGCCCGATCGGCGGCCTCTTTGTCGCAAACGGCAGGTAGTCCTGAAGGTAGGGGATCACGTTCACCTCGCTGTCGTCGAGCTTGTCGTACAAGTCATCCCTGCGTTTGTCCGCGACGTGAGGAGGCCTGCGGACACGAAAGAGGGAGAGAAAGAGTGAGCCAGTCAGGCGGCGTGAGGGGCGGGTAGCCTACCCAACACTCGCGAGCGCTCACCGGACGGACTCGCTGAGGTCACCCGGCTGCTCGATGGCGTACGGGAACTGGGCCTTGCTCGGTTGCCGGGCGGGCTTGAGCACCGGGTCGTCGCCGCGGGCGGGGCCGCCGTCGTCGGCCAGCATGAGGTCGTCCAGCTTGATGGCGTTGGCGCCGTGCTCCTCGGGCTTGGGCGGCACGGGCGCGCCGTGCTCTACGGGGTACACGAGGAACACGGGGGCGGCGCCGGGGGGTCGGTCCGCGCCGGCGGGGAGGTCGGCTCGCGAGAGCACACGGTGCGTGGGGCCCACGCCTCGCTGCTGCATCATCTGGAGCGTGGCCACGCGCCTGCTGGCCGCCATGGGGCCCGCCATGGGGCCCGCGCCCACGGGCAGCCCCGAGCGGCGGTGCGGCTGCGGCCGCGCGGGGTGCGGGCCTGCGGGGTGCGGCCCCTCGGGCTGCTCGTTGTGCCGGTTCACCCTGAGCAGCGGCTGCAGCCCCGCGGGGTGCGGCGCCGCGGGCAGCACCGAGTGCGGCCTGCCCTCGCCGGCGCGCTCCATGAGGGGCATGCGCTGCGGCTGCAGCCCCGTAGGGAGCGGCTGCGGCTGGTACTGCTGCACCTGCAGCGGGCCCAGCGGCCGCCCGCCCATGCCGCCCATGCCCAGCATGTGCTGCTCCGGGTGGCCGCTCAGGCGCGCGTTGGGTCGGAACTGCGGCAGGATGTTGGGCAGGCTGCCGTCGGGCTTGAGCTTGTAGCCCGGCGGCGCCTGCATGGGACCGCCCATGGGACCCATGCCGGGCGGGGGCACCCGCGGCCCGAGCGGCAGGGTGTCGTGCTTGGGCCTTAGGCCTTGCTGCTGGCCCACCCCCTGTGCGTGAGGCTGTCCGTGAGGCTGTCCGTGGGGCTGTCCGTGAGTCTGTCCGTGAGTCTGTCCGTGAGTCTGTCCATGGGGCTGTCCGTGCTGTTGTCCGTGAGTCTGTCCGTGCTGTTGTCCGTGAGTCTGTCCGTGCAGCTGTCCCTGCGGCTGTCCCTGGGGCTGTCCCTGCGGCTGGTACGGCTTGCGGCCGGCGTTCTCCCAGTGCGGGCGCGGCCAGTCGTTGGTGGGCTGGGGGTTGCGGTTCTTGCCCGGGTCGGCGGGCGGTACCAGGTCGGTGGCGAGGTCCGGCGCGGGCGCGGCGCCGGGCGGCAGCTCGTAGGCGGGCTGCTGCTCGGAGCCCTCGCGGTCCGAGTCCAGCGGGGGGCTCATGTCCAGGCCGGGCGGTGGCGGCGTGGGCTTGGGCAAGGCGGGCCGGCGCTGTGGCGGCGGCGCGTCCATGACCTGGCCCTGGCCGACGCCCTGGGGCGCGCCGCGGGGCGGCCCGAACTGGCCCCCGGATGGGTGCTGGAAGGAGCCGTGCACGACGATCTCCTTGGTGTCCTGCAGCTCGGCTACCCTCTTGTCATCAGGGAAAACCACGCGGTTGGTCGAGCTCTCCGGCACGGGCGCTTTGGTCGTTTGCTGCTGTGGTGGCTGTTGCTGTTGCTGCTTCTGGGGCTTGTCGAGCTTCTCTGCGGGCGCCACCTCCTCCCTCTCGGGTGCGGCGGTGGCGGGGGGCGCGGGCGCAGGCGCGGGTGCGGGCGGCTGCCTGAACGGCCCCGGGGGGTTGGGGCGCGGCGGCTCGACGCCGGGGAAGCGGGGCGGCTGCGGCGGTCGGAGCTGCTGCGCCGAGGGCGGCTGGAAGGAGAAGGACACGTAGTTGTTGTCGCCTCCCGCGTCCGTGATGAGGTCGCCGTAGCCCGAGGGCGGCCCGGACGGCGGCAGCGGGTAGGGCGGCATCGGCCCGGGCGGCCCGGGGCGGCGGTCGTACAGGGGGCGGAAGGGCTGGTTGGCCGCCATGCCATAGGGGCTGTCCCGCGGGGGCGGCGGTGGCGGCGCCTGCTGCAGGATCTGCTGGGGACGCGGACGAGTGGGCTGCCTCGATGGGGGCGGCTGAGGCTGCGACTGCGGCGGTCTGACAGACTGCTCAAACACCACCTTGTTGCTGGGGGCGGCCACTCGCTCCGGGACCAGCATCACGTTGGCCGTGGTGGCCGCCGGCGTTGTGGTCGAGGTGGTGGTCGGCGCCGCCGTGCTGGTCGTGGTGCTGGGCGCGGTGGTCGTTGTCGTGCTGGGCTTGGGCGTGGTCGTCGTGGAGGGTTCGGCAGGGCTCGCCGTTACCACGACGGGCTTGCGGTTGAAGGGCTTGAGGATCATGACGGTGGACAGCTGCGGGCGGCGCGTGGTCGGCCTGAACGTTGTGACCATGGTGGTGGTCGTGGCTGGTGCCGGGGTGGTCGTGGTCGTAGTCGTGGTCGTAGTCGGCGTCGTCGAGGGCGTCGTGGCCACGGTGGTGGACGGGGAGGTCGGGGGCGCGTCGGACGTGGACAGCGCTGGGGCCTGGTGCGCGTTCTGGGGCCTCGCGGACATGACGGGCGCCGCGGGCTCCTCGTCCTCGTAGCTGTAGTCGCCGCCGTAGTCAGGCTGCTCGGGCTGCGGCGGCGGCTTGGCGGGCTTCATGCCGTACGAGCCGTGCGGCGGCTCGATGTTCTCCGCTGGGCCTGACGGCCCGGACGGATAGGAGGGCTGCTCGGCCTCGGGGTACTCCTCGGACTCGAGGAGCGACCAGAAGGACGACGCCGTGGTGGGTTTTGGTCTCTGCGTCGGCCTCGGCGTCGGTCTCTGCGTCGGCCTCGGCGTTGGTCTAGCCGTTGTTGGCCTCGGCGTGGTTGTCGTCGTGGTCACCGTGGTCGTCGTCGTGGCCCTCCTGGTGGTGGGTGCGGGCGTGGTGGTCGTCGTGGTCGAGGTCGTCGGCGCGGTGGGCACCGGCGTGGTGGTCGTGGTCGTGGTGGGCAGCGTGTAGTACTGCGGCGACGGCTTGGTGCTCGGCGGCGTGTACGGCTTGTGGTTCTTGATGCTGCCCGTGGTCGACGAGGCCCCGATGCCCTGCACCTTGGTGTTGGAGTAGGAGCTCGAGATGAGTGGGTACTTGTCGCCGGCGCTCGAGTACTTGACGGGCAGGTTGAGGAAGTCGTGGAAGTTGGGGGTGACGATCTTGAGCGCGCCCTGCGAGTCCAGGTCGTTGGGCCGGCCGCGCGTCCCCGCCGTGTCCTTGCGGTCGATGCCGTCGTGGGCCTGCTCGTAGTCGTCGTAGTCCACGGCTGCGCTCAGCGGCGGACAGAGGGGAAACAGCCGAGAATGAACGCCACGCGGAGAAAATGCGGAAAAATGAAACTCTCTTTTACGGTTAACGGTGCCATATGGCCACGCCCCGGCGAGAGAGCTCCCCTTTTCCATCCTGTGCGATACAGTACATATAGCCAACACAGCACGCGACCACCGCGCACACCACCTGGCTAATGGTGCCATAAAAGGGAGCCCCCATCTCAAGGGACTTTAATTTTGTAAGATTTTTTAAAGCTGAATATTTCTTTAAAAGATTTGATTTTTTTTTCAATTGTTCTAGAAATATTTCAATATTTTCGAAAATATCTGTAATAGTTTCCAATATTTCCGAGAAAAATTCGGAGATTAAAATCCCCTTGACTCACCTGGGTCCCTGACGGGCGGCGCGGCGGGCTCCGCCTTGGTCGCACTCAGGTCCAGCTGGCCCGTCACGGGGTCCTTGTCCACGAAGAAGGGCTTACCGCCGTTGAGGACCGCGGGTCCGACCAGGGCCGCGCTCAGCGGCGGCAGGTCGGCGGCGTCCTCGTCCAGGACGAACTCCGAGTCGCGGGCCTCCATGGGCATCTGGTCGGCGGGCGCTCCGAGGACGGCGTCGCTAGTCGGTCCGGCGGGCCCGCTGGGCGCGCCCAGGGCGGCCGCGGCCAGCGCCAGGACGGCGACGACGAGCCGCCATGGCGGCCGCATCGCGCTCTGGACAACACAAGAGAGCTACTGTGTAAACGACGGTTTGCTGACCTGCCCTCTGCAAAGTCTGCTCGCCAACAGCTCATTCTCATTCTCTGGCGGCGCGTAAGTAGGCAAACGTGGAGAGAGGAAACAAAACGCTGGACTCTTGCCGCGCGGTTTTCTCTCCTCCCCCCCCCC